AAAATCAAAATAGGAATCAGTACTTTTTTGGGGGGGAAAGGGTACTGGCAATTGAACCAATGGTCTCACTGAGCTATATCCTTAGCCTACTCCCCCCTTTTTAAGACAAGGTCTCACTAAATTGCCAGGGGTGGCCTTGAATTTTTAAGCCTCCTGCCTCAGCCTTCCAGAGTGCTGAGATTTCAAATGTACATAACCAAACCTGCTTGACTTTTTCTGCAAAACCCACCATTTAGGTGCTTTCAGATTTTGTAGGCCATACATTCTCTGGGACAACATTCACCTTCGCTGCTGTAAAAACAGCCAGAGGTGATCTATGAATGAATGGGCATGGCTGCTGTCCAGTAAGGCTAGATCCTGAAGGCTGCTGTCTTGGCTAAGCTCCTGCACCTACCCGAGAGACCACAGGCTAAAGCCACGTGTTGTTACTCAACCTTGAGTTCCACAGAAACTAAGCTGCTTACCAGAGGCTCCTAAATCCAGCATGAGAGATAACAGCCGAATTTCCCAAACCACATGCTAATGTAATTCCCTCTGCCTCAACCCTTACACAAAGGGTAACCTGAAGAAACCTGATGTTAACCAAGCACTTATTTTCACAATGTTCTGTTTCCTCGTCTCTACTTTACAGGGGAAACAACTTTTTGGAATAATTTCCTTTTCATTTTTTCCTTTCTTGTCTACAAAACTAATGTCCTCTGCTCACCTGATTTAGCCCAAGCTGTATTTGCTAATCCTGACTCTGGGCTAAAGCAAGCCTTTCGTTTTTTTTGTTTTGTTTTTTGAGACTGGGTCTCACTATCCAGTTCAGGTTGGCCTTGAACTCACTCTGTAGCCCAGCCTGGCCTCAAACTCACAGTGATCCTCCTGCCTCAGCCTCCTGAGAGCTGGGATTACAGGTGTGCACCACCATGCCCAGCTAAGCAAGCCTTCTGGGCAATGTAATCTCTGGAATAAGGCCCCATCTCCCAGTATGCACCCCTCCATCCCTTCCACATGTCATTCTACTTCCTATATCTACAGAGTTTCTCAAAAAAGTGTTGTCCCTAGATGCCTTGCATCAAAATAATCTGAGCTTCTTATATAATACACAAATACTTAGGCTTTATGCCATCCTACCAAAGCTCAAATCTCTTCCCAAGAATTCTTCTGTGCCCCGCTGTGGCCCTCAGGTACAGGACCTGGGCTATCAGGCCAGAAGTGGGCTATGGTTCCCATAATTCTTATAATACCCTACATGTCTAAGCTTTAATAAGGTCATCTTTTGTTTCTAAATATTGACCTTTTGTCCTTGGTTCCTCCAAGAGTTTCAGAGCAGTGGGATGGAGGTGCTTCTGCGTAACACATGGGTCCGTGGAGGGCACCTCACCTGCAGAGGCATGGGAGCCCGCTTCACTCACACCTGCTCTACCCATCTCCGCTGGTGTGCATCCTTTGTAATAAGCAGGAAACGTGTTGCCCTGAGATCTGTGACCCACTCTAGCAAATCCAACTCGAGGAGGGCATTGGAGGAACCCCAACTTACAGCCCCATAGTCGGAAGCACAGGAAATCAAGCTGGGGCTTGTGACTGACACTGGAAAGGGGGGGTGGCAGAGACAGTCTCGGGGACTGACGTGATCTCCAGGCAGGGTCAGAACCACACTGAATTCAAGGACACCCAACTGGTTTCTGATGCCTGATTAACAGTTGGCAGAGAAACCCCCTCCGTAGCCCCAATTTGGTGTCACAGCAACTTGTGACTGTGAGATTTCCCTACAGTTTCAGCAAATGGCCACATACAGGATAAAACTCATGGCACCGCAGGTGACCTGTATCAGTTCCCTTTCACAGGCAGCACGCTAGCCACGCTCCCTCTCAGGCCGCATTGTTCCTTCCTCCTGCGGCACCGGCTCTGTAGCCTCCTCGGCTACACCACTCTCCTGGCTGACGAATCCCCTCACAGAGCCACCCCAGCCCACGGATACCCAACAGTCTCTCCTCCTAGGTCAGAGTCTGAGGGATTCCTCCTTTGCCTTATGAAGCACCTGGAAGTGGGGGACAAGGGCTTTGCCCAGCAGGCACTTACACGTCAATAAGGTCGGGTTTCAGCACCGATGGCACAGCCGTTTCGATGTTGTACAGTCTGATCTGAGATCCGTACAGAGTGACTTTGACCAACCTGTTGGCAGAGAAGCAGGGGAGAAAGAGCACTCAGCTTAACGACTCGAGTGCCAGCTACCAACAATGGCGCGCCCCAGGCAGACTGTTCTTTTTCCATGCAGTAAATCCCTGGCGTAACAACATTCGAGTTGCAAACCTTCACAGGTAGACTGTGGAAGACTCACTTTAGCAGTTTGCAAATGAATCCAACTTATGAACAACTTTCCCAACATAGAACTCATTCTTAAATCCAGGACTTACTGTACAAAAAAAAGGGGCCTTCTACTTTTTCCTAAGAAAATAATATGAAGATTTATATAAAATTTATGGACAATGAAGAATTATATACACTGACACTTACTGAAGCTTTATTTACACTGTCACAAAGTTTTAAAAGTACTGGGGCTGGGTGTGGTAGTGCACACCTATAATCCCAGCACTCAGGTAGCTGAGGCAGGAGGATCACTGCAAGGTTGAAATCAGACTGGGCTACACAGTGAGTTCAAGGCCAGCCTGAACTACAGTTAGACCTGTCTCAAAAAACAAAAGTGTTAAAGTATTATAAATGTTCAAGAATGTAATACAATGGATTATAATATATTCAATAAAAACTATGCTTAAAATATTTAATAACAAATATTCAAGACATGAAATATAAAAAGGCTATAACTATTATATAATATACTGATTTTATTTTAAAATTGTGTTAGCTGGGCATAGGGGCACACATCCGTAATCCTAGCACTTACGAGGCTGAGGCAGGAGAAGACAAGCTCAAGGTTAGCCTGGACTACATAGCAAGACACTATCTCTTAAAAAAAAAAGTTTTTTTAATCTATCAATCAAATAAGTAAATCTATCTATCAAATAAATAAATATATAAATGCTGGAAGAAGTTTTTACCAGAATATGCTGCTGGCAACCTTTGCTTTAGGGGTAGGATGAAGTGAGTAATATGGATATTTTTCCCTTACTCTTCTGTACTTCAAAACTGTCTACAATGAATATATAATACCTTTCCAGGTGAGAATTTTACAAAATACTTTCATAAAGTAGCCCTGCCCTTCTGACAGTTCATCTGAGTAGATTGACAAGATCTTTCCATAAAATGTGCAATATTAAAACCAACTTAGGCTGGGGATTTAGCTTAGTGGTTCCACTGCATGCCTTGTTGCTTTTCAAGTGCAAGGACCTGAGTTCAATCCCCGGAACAAAAAAATAAAAAATAAATAAAAATAAAACCAACTTGGAGCTGGGAATGGGATACTCACCTGTAATCCTATGTAACACTCAGGAAGCTAAGGCAGGATGATCCTCAGTTCAAGTCCATCCTGGACTACGTAGTGAGACCTTGTCTCAAAAGCACCAATTCAAACAAAAATATCCCCCAATGTAGGCCAGGTGCAGTACCTCAGAGGTAGAACACTTGCCTGACATGCGTGAGGCCCTGGGCTGGATCCCAAGTACTTCGAAAATAAAAACAAACACCACAAAAACAAACTGACCTGACTTTTACTTGAGGGGTGGGGTTAGGGACTGAACTCAGGGCCTCACACTGAGCTACATCCCTAATTTTGAATTCTGAAACAAGGTCTCCCCAAGTTGTTGGGGTGGCCTTGAACCTACGATCCTCCTGTCTCTGCTCTGCCTCTGGAATAGCTGAGCCTGCAGAGACACGCTCCATGTCAGATTTAAAAGTCATTTTTAAAAGGCAACGTTTCAGACGAATTGATACTTAATTAAAAAAAAAAAACAAAAAACAGAAAAATGTGCATTGTCAAATCTAGGTGGTAGGTATATATGTGTTTTGCCAATAGAATTCTCTCAACTTTTCTGAAAATTTGAAAATGTATATGATGATAAAACACTCCTGGAAGAGCAAGGTGGGAAGAAGAAATGTTTCTGAAATAAAGTGAGGTGTTTTAAAGGCCACATATAATTCTTTCCGAAACAAGGTATACAAATGATATTAATATGGTAACCAGTTCCATTAGGACATGGGAAATACCTCTCTCCTTTCTGAGGGAAAGGAGAAGTCCTTGACCTGGCTTCTGGGCCCAGCCGAACTGGGAGCATGTCAAGCCACTGGGAACCCGCTGCAGATGCAGGCTGCGTGGGCCAAGCCCACAGGTAGATTCTGTTAGGTGTGAAGAGGGGTTTGGAAATCTGCATCTCTGAAAAGCACCCAGGAGTGAAGTCTATACCCTGAGAAACGTTCTCCTCAGAAAGGGCGAAAGCAGAACTTTATTCCAAACACAAAACCAACACCATTCAGAGTGCAACAGTCAGATTTAACATTTCCAGTGTAACAAATGTAACATTTCCAGTGAATCAAAGAAGTGAAGGAAAAAAGTCAAGTTCTTAACTTGGCTAGGAAGTGCTGGTGCTAACTAGGAATCACAACAGTAAGCCTCAGTAAGCACCATAACATAACACGATGCACCTAGTGTTCCACTCTAAGTTCTCTTCCACACTCAAGTATGGACGGCTAGGCATATCTTAATACATTTGTGCAGTCTTAACTTTAGGTTTGTTTTATGTAATACCTAAGTGAAAACAATGCTAATCAGGCTGGCTAGTAAGACCATGTAGCCACAGGAAAAGCCTGCTCTTGTACTCTAGTCTAAATGCCGGCAGACAGCAGGCATCACTAATTACAAAACTTGCAGACCCGAGCAGTACAGAAGGTACAGAAGGCGTATATACAGGGTGTAGAAAACAATGACTCAGCATCTCCAATGGATCATTTCACTACAGTCAGGATGACTGAGACACATCTCTACACTGTTATCAGCAAATTCAAAAAATGGAAATCTATGGACCTCACACAGAAAGACGTGCCCTATAGCTGCAAAACTAAACCTCAGCACAAATGGACCTAGCATGAAATAAAGAGGAAAAACAGATTCTGAAAGCAGAAATTCTGTAGTTTGCAATGAGCCTAGCACTTGGACTCAGGAAACCAGTGAACACCCATAGGCTCAAAAGAAAAAAATATGAGAAAAGGGAAAAATGGAAACAAAGTCTTTGTAAATAGGGAAAGGTGGAGGGGGTGAAGGGAGGGCAGGGGAATGGGGAAAAAAAAAGAACTAAGATGCACCATGTAAAGGTACAAGATTGCCAGGGATTTAGCTGAGTGGTTCTGCTGCCTGCCTGGCAAGCACAAGGACCTGAGTTCAATCCCCGGTACCAAAAAAAAAAAAAACAAGTACAAGATCCCAATGATGATTGCAACTGTATGTATACCTAAAAAGTATCAATAACTTAGTGGAAAAAAATAAATAAAATAAAACAAAACCCAGAGGCTCCTTGTCACAAGCCATGCAAACTCAGTGTGTACTTACTATCTCTGAGGTAAAATGCCAATACTAGTCTCTCAAAGTATGGAATGAATTGGGATAAAAATGTGCAAAAACACTTTTGAAAATTTCTTACTATTATATGTTGCTTTTTATTAATATTAATCTTGCTTTTAAGGGATTACAAATTATTGGGCTGGAGGTGCAGCTCGGTGGTAGAGCACTTGTACTACACGTACAAGGCCCGGGGTTCAATCTCCAGTGTCACCAAAAAAAAAAAAAAACAAAAAAAACTTAGTTCTCTCCACTTTTCAGCTAACATGTAATAACTGAAGAGAAATCTAGTATGCATGTAACTGAACTCTTTGGGTTCAATTTCCCTGTGTTACCAGTGATAAGGCTACTGTGCCAATGAAGTATCAGGTTGTCTGGGCTTCAAGCAGGATTCACATCCAATCTGTTTACCAGCTACTCTGAAATTGGCTAAATCTCCTGGCACTTACACCTGGCTCCAGGGTACCGTGGGGAGGAGGGAAGCCTGGTAGAACAGATGCCCCCCGACAAATGCAGCTGGAGATGTGTCGGGCAGCATTTCACTGGCAGGAGAAGAGGGAGAGCAGTTGTAAAAGGAGCCTGGTAGGGAAAGGATGGAACCACCTCCCCGAAGCTGGAGCAGCCTGATATGGCCTCCTTCGGGCCATAATGGGACTGGGCACAAACCACAAAAGGCCCCACACCTCTGGCACTTGGCTGCTAGTTGATTAGTGATGTTGCATTCTTATTAGTGGGCCGTTCCTAATGCAGCTTTATCCTAAGAGGAAAACACATACAGATCCACTTCACTTCATTTCTCCCTAGTTCAATACTGTCTCTGTATCTATAATACAAGATCATGAATGAAATAACAGCTTATATCCATTCATAGTTTTGTAATGTGAGAGTACTGTGCTGAGTGCCTCACCTATATAATTCCACCGTAAACCTACAAAGACATGACTCCCATGCCATTCAACAGATGAGGGACCTGAAATTCAGAGAGGTTAGCAGTAATCTGGTCCGTGTTACTCAGACAAAGCAGAGCTGTAAATATGCTGTTCCTCTTACGAGAAGATGCACAGGCGCTCTGAAGAAGGAAGGGATTCACTGCACGACAGCCAGCCTACCTCTCCACGACTACGAGGGCATCACTGAACCTCGCGGCAAACACATCCCCGATGAAATACTCAGCTAGGCGACCCACGGCCTGGAGCAGGGAGCTCAAGTCTCTCAGGGAGCAGTGCAAGCGTCGGCAGTCATTCTCTGCAGTGATGTTCAGCCTGTGCCCTGGAACACAACACCCAGACAGTTTCTCACCGAACATGCTTCAGCTACTGCAAGGAAAACCTGGTTCTCCAAACAGAGGATGCATGGGGTGCTTCTCAAGTACCAAGTAGGGAAATGGGTGCAGCCCGCACCCACAGATATGCCCACACATGCTCTGGGGCCCAGGCAGGGAACAGTCAGCCAGGACAGTGCGAATGTGGGTGAGCCCCTGATCTGAGTTCTCCTGATCCTGGTAAGGTACTGACACCACCAACTGCACACTCAGATGGGCACCCATGGAGGCCCAGGAACCTGCCAACGCAGCTCCTACCTCCAGGGCAGAGCTGGTATTCTAAGCTAGGTCTCTGACTCCCAGCCTGCTGCTAGCACAGGGGTGTGTCTCACACTACTCCCTAGGTTTCGGAGTGGCACAGGACAAAATAAAGGGTGAGGACTGTGATTCAGAGACACAGTCCCTGCCGCTACCCAGCTCTGTGACTCTCTGAATCCTTCCAAGACATCATCCTGAGAGTGGGATGGGGAAGGTGGTGCTGCTTTAAAGGCTAAATTAGAATGCATTAAAAACTCTATAAACCATAAGGCAGTCTACAGAGCTAGTTTCCAAGGCCCTAAACTTTCTTAATTTTTAGCCTATCTCCAAACTTAGCAAGGAGGAGGCTAAGATGACAGAAGCATCTTTAATTCAGTCTTCACTTCCTTGTCCTCTGGATCCCTCTCCTCACAAATGTCCACAAGAGCAGAAGACAGCTCAACTCCCAGGCCAGGCGCCTCTGAGCTGACCAGTGCCCCTCACTCCCACAGGTCTCGCTCGGGCTGGGGCAAGGACACCTGCCATCCCACCACTCCCTCAGCACTTTCCAAATCTGTCCCTCCCAGTTAGCCCTTTACCATCTGTCATCAGCAACCCTCCTCCCCTGGTGCTGCTCAGCCATGGACCAGCCATCTTCCCTTGGACTGATGTCCGGGCAGGGACGAGACCCAGTTACAAGCACGGCACCTGGGACACAGTGAGACACCATCCAGGGGTGCAATTTCAACACAACAGAACAGAGGGCCACCTAGAGCAGGACAGGAAGCTCCAGGAGCTCGATGTCCTGGAACAGCAGCACTTCTGGAGAGGAGCCCAGCAAGGTAAACCCCGCAGAGAAAAGTGGGAGGTGATGCACAAGCTGATGCCTGGGATCCCACACTGGTGATAAGGCCAGTGGAGGTGCCTGTGGTGGCACCAAGACAAGAGCCCAAAAAGGGGGGCACTTTGGCCAGATGTGGCTGTAAGGGTTCACATTCCAAGAAAAAGAGAACAAAACTAGGGGCAAATCAAGGAAAGACCTTGCAAGGACAGCCAGTCCTACCCCAAATCACCTACCACCACCTCCTCCACACCGCAGGAACAGCAGTGTCTTGGTGCATACCAACAGACAGCTCTTCAAAGGCTGTGAGTGGGCAGCTGAAGAGAGCAAGCCCTTCCGCCAGCCACAGGAGAGCCCAGAGGACAGAGAGGACCAACAGGGATTTCTGGTCATGCTTTCTCATGCACAGGGCCTTTGTGGAGCAAACAAATGAGATGGCCCTAATTTCCCAGTTAACAAAAACACCACAATTATACATGACCTGAAAGCCAATGGGATTCAACTTCTAAAACCTGCTGATCCTTTCAACCCTAGGGCTCTGTGGCAAACAAAACCTTAAGGAAAAGATATTTCAGATTGGGCACGTGGGTAGTAATGGCCCAAAAGAGATGCCAGCTTGTGTTTCAAAGAGCAACTCAGGAGCTTCCAGACAGCTGCAGGCGCCCAGTCTCCCTGCACATGTCATCTTCAGCTCGGGTCAGCTCTGTGCTGGTCACCAGTTTTCCCCTTACTAACTGTACTTAAAAGTCCTCAACTAGGTATGGGTAGGAATATTTAGTTTTAGGCAGGCACAGAAAACATTCTGTGTCTAACAACACTACACCCAAAGTCCAGTCTCCACCTGAGCGCAGTCCTCAGCAGCCAGTTACAGGACAGCTCCAACCTTACACCTCAGTCTCTCACCCAACGTCCCTGGCACCTGGTCTGTCAGTCTCCTCCAGGACACCTCACACCAGCAGCTCAGTGTCTCGAGGGACAACCTGTTCAAAAGCACGGGGAAGGTACGTCTCCCCATCATTCCTCATTAGCCCTGGGTCACCCCTGGAGGGCAGACCACAAAACAAGTCAGAGCTAACACACAACATGGAGGCAAGCACATTATTCCAAGCCTCTCTTGGCTTAAACAAAGTCCTGGGTCCCTCCCTCCATGTCCCATTAACCTCGTTCCAAGAATCCTTCCCATCTTGATCAGCCCCTCTAAACTCGCCCTTATCTGTCTAGCAAAGCATAGCAGCTAGACAGGATAAACTCAGCAGTGTGGCATGTGTGTTTTCACCTGTTAGCTGAAACCATGTGAGACTGCTGATATCTGACCACTTCTGAATAAGCTAAACCATGACTCCAAACAGTGCAACTCGTACAAGTGAGCCATGGCAAGATCAAGTGGATCAACACTGCAGATGGCTCTTTCCTGTTCTGTCTGAAAGGCAGAAAAATACACAGGCAGGGTACCCCAAATCAAAAGCTCCTATGCCCTTCAACCTAGATACCCACTTCTCCCACCACAAAACCATACAAAGCACCAACTAAACGAAGGGGGAGGTGAAAAGCTGTCCATATCCACCCATATTTTCCTCTCTTTGGCTAAGGCTTAGATTCCCCCCTCCAAAGCACAGAACATTCATAAAGTAGGACCTTTCAGATGAAAACTGCTAATGTATAGGCTCAGAGAAGCTCTGAAAGTAACCCATCTCCCATAAATGTGCTCTAAGCCACATTCAGAGAGCACCTCTCTGGAAAATCCCTGTTGGGGGAGGAGGGGAAGGTAGAAGTATGAAAACTCACATTTGAGGCATTCTACACTGAGATAAAAATAAATTATGTATGAATCCAAGCAAGAAAACAAAGGATAAAAGCCTTAAAATCTTATATATTATAGATAAAATAATCTTGTAGGCGAGAAAGCTTGTGCAGCTAACCAAAAAAGTTAACGGGGTTACTTTGCATTGAGGAAAGACTGCAGTGAAGAGCAGCAAAAGGCAAACACAAAAAGAACATGAGGAGAAAAACCTATGAGAGGATTTCTTTATCCTCACACAGGAAAGACAGTGAGAGCAAAGGATGACCTGCTGGGGGCACCAGAGGCTCAGAGCAACTGATGCACAATACTGCCACAACATGTCTTGTGTGGGCCTTTCTGAGGAAGTGGCAGCAAGATCCGTGGTAGCAGAGGAAACAGCAAGCACACCAACTCTTCTGAATTTGAATGCTCGAACAAAATTTCGGGATAAGAGGGAGGTCCCACCAAGCTGGGTAACAGCCCTGTGGTTTTCTGCTGTCGAGATGCACACCAGAGCACTGTAGATGATCGCATACGGCAGAAGGAGAAGTGCGGCTGGCTGCCAGCTACAGCTCACAGAGGAGACCCAGGTCTAGGTGAATGCAAATGAAGGGAGAGGACAAATCACCTAGCAGAAGAGAAGATGACAGGACTTCTGCCGAGGCATAAGGCTGACCACGGTAACAAGGGGCAAATGGCCATGGGCACCAGGGAACAAACTACACTCCGTGGTACCTACTTTCTAGTAACCTCTGCATTGGAAACTTGGCTTTTGAGCCACTAAGACATGGGGGAGTGCTTCGCCATGGATAACTAAGTCATTTTAAAACAAAAAGTAAGTATTTCTCTGGCATGAGATGTTTTGCTACCCGAGTGTGCACCAAGGATCAGCACTGATAAAGCAATTTATAAACGATCTGGAAGAGTCAAGTGCTCTGTGAAACCGCCAGTAAATGCTCTTCAATGAGGTAAGACATGTGATTTAGGGAAAAATAAGTCAGATTATCCCTCTAAGAGAGAAACTTTGAGTTATCTATCAGTTGTCTCAGAGAAAGGTTTCAGACTTCATGCAAAATTTTATCTAAAAACAGACTCTATTAATGTTTAACAACAACAACCACCACCACCACAGCAAAAACCAAAAAACCCTACAACACCAAATAGGAAACTTAAAACAGTAAATTTCAGGCTAGATTCCCCCGCACACACACACATACTGCTGGGCCAGGACTGAAGCCAGGGCTTTTGCACCAAGCTACATCCCCAGCCCCTTTTTTGTTGTCGTTGGTTGGGGGGGGTCCTATTTTATTTTTTATTTGAGACAGGGTCTTACTAAGTCACTAAGTTGCTCAGGCTGGGTTCAAACTTAGGATCTTTCTGCCTCAGCTTGCCAGAGTGCCAGATATGCTGCCATGACAGGCTTTGAAAAAAAAAAAAAACAGATCAAGAATAATGCCTTCAGGGTCTATAGTACATTCTAATTTGAAAACTGGCCCAAAGAAAGGGACCACTGGGACGCGATTACTCCAAAGCATGGATTCTAGGAACATCTGTAGCATTTGTACACAGTACAGATGCAGCATCGGTACAGATGCCGAAACGATTTTCATTAGTGTTGATAACATATTTTATAGGCATGTTTGCTGTGAAAATTGCCTTTTAAAGTTTCTCTGTAAACTGTTCTTATACTGTCTACAAAGTGAGGGCCTGGACTTGGGGGGTTGCCAAGTCCATCGACCTCCTGGGCCCCTGGATTGATAAGAGGCTTATACAGTAACAGAAACAAGCCACCAGGAGCCACCACGAAGGGTAACTTCAAGGAGAGCCTCCCATGGAAGCCCTGCCATGAATAACAAGTGGTGCCAGGCTAAATAACAGTGATCCAGCAGAGGGGCTGCAGGCCAGGCCTGGGTGCAACTTCTGAAAAAGTGAAATGGCACAGAGATGGTGGGGCAGGGAGAACATGTGGAACTTTAAGACACTGGTGTTTTTAGCTGGCAAAAATCAATGGCAGTTACAACAATCTTCTTTAATCACTCTCCTCATTTCACTATTGTGGGAACTAACCAGCTCTGTGATCCTGGCTAGACAGACTAACATTTCTCAACATCAATGTCCTCTTCCATAAAACAGGGTAATGAATAATAGTACAGCGCCAGGAGAGCTAAGCAGCAACAATAATAGCACAATGCCTGGCATGCAGTGAGTACCATCCAAAGGAGGCTACAGTCACTGAATAACAAAGTGCTGAGCCACACCCTGGCAGATGAAGCCTGCCAACAGCCGCTAGGAGCCTTTCTAGCTAGCGGCAGGTGGAGCCTCCTAAAGCCATCCGCCGTAGGAGAGGCAGGGGCCATCGAGTTCTTGGTAGACCATCCAGCTCCTACTCTGGAGCTGCTCCTTTGTCCTGCTTCTGTATCACAGGAGAGCCCAAGGCCAGTCCCTTCTTGCAGATCTGCCATTTAAGGACATAAGGAAATAGTCCAGAGCTTTGAGTAAGCCTTACCTCTTTGGTCCAAATTAACTTTTGTTTTCAAACATTTCTCTGGAAGACAATTGTCCTAACTTCATGTTTTAACCTCCTTCACAACTACTCTGAATCATGACTTTTTTAAAATTTTCTGTTTAAAAGTGGAAGAGAGAGGCATGGTGGCACATACTTGTAATCCCAGCACTCAGGAGGCTGAGGCAGGAGGATTGCTGTGAGTTTGAGTCCATCTTGGGCTACACAGTGAGTTGAAGGACAGCCTGAACTACACAGTGAGACCCTGTCTCAAATTATAATAATAATTTAAAAATAAATAAATAGAGGCAAGAGACTAGGAAGAGGGAGACTGCAGAGTAGAAATCACATTATGACAGCAAAGTTAGCAGGAGTTAACTCTCAGTCTGACTTTTTTTTTTAATGTTTGGTTAATAGAAAAAAAAAAAAAAATGAGTTTACCTGACCCTGAAGTAACTATAAACTGCTGTAATCCCAAATAAACTTCTAAATTGTCTTGAAGAACTGGGAACTGAAAACAAAGAAACAACGTTTTTAAAAAAATCACAGATGTGAGTTTTAACAGCATTTTAACTTTAGAACTAAGTACCTATGGGGAGAGGAGCAGAATTAAAATTTTTTTCTCCAGGAACCTTTACATGCTGCTAAGAAATAGCAACTCTTTAGTGTCCCCCACCAAAAATTTCTACAGTTGAAACCACCAATTAAAATACAGAACAGATGGGGCCAGGGATTTAGCTCAGTGGTTCCTCCACCTGCTTTGCAAGCACAAGGGCCCGAGTTCGATCCCCGGTACAAAAAAAATAAAGAAAGAAAGAACAAGAAAGAAAACAACATTATCAGTTTGATTTTTTTTTTTTTTTTAAAGCAAAGCAAAAGATACTAAAGTGTGATTTACACTCCTAGAAAGAAATACCAGGTCACCACCAATTGATCTGCACCTTCCAGAGCTCTGGGATGGGCCCGTATCTCCCCTCAAGTGTTAAAAAAGCCCTGTCCTTAAGAGAAGTATCAGGAATGCCTCAGCAAAGCACATGATAAAGTAAAAAGATGGGCCAGATTCTGTGGAAATCAGTTTCCCATGTCCATGTAGCAGATAGGACTGTATAGCCAGAGCAGGATTGTTCCTTGTAAAGGTGCTACGCTGATTGTTAAGATAAAAAGAAAACTCAGTGGGGCATGGTGGCACAGGCCTCTAATCCCAGCACTCTGGGAGGCTGAGGCAGGAAGATCAAAAGTCCCAAGCCAGCCTGGGCAACTTTGCAAGAACCTGTCTCAAAATTTAAAACAAAAAAAAATAAAACAAAACAAAAATGTTAAAGGGGCTGAAGCTGTAGCTCAGTGTGATGGCCCCAGGTTCAATCACCAGCATCAGAAACAGAAGGAGGGGGAAACCTCTATGTGTCCCCTTACATAAGGCAAAGTAAAATGGTGCTTTTAAAATTTCAACTTTTACCATATTTTAAACAAGGTTTCCAAAATTGACTTAAAATAGTCCGCGAAAACATTAACATTTGTTAAATATGAATTGAGGGTCAGTTATGAGAATTACTCTTCTTCGTAAAAAAATACATTTTTAAAGGAGAGGGGGTGGTAACAGAGCAGTGAAAAAGCCATGCTGCAGGTACAAGGAACCAATTCCAATTCAGATGCTTCAACCCCCCAAATAGCGAGTTACCAGAGTTGAGAAGGCGTGCGTAGGAAGGAGCTCCATCACTTTGGCCACTACCTCCAAGCTCTGGCGTAAGTACCGCTGCCATTCTGTCTGCTGCTGTGAGAAAACAAAGGGATCAGCTCTCCCACACAGGCAGGAGCCGCCCGTCATCTTGCCTGTCCGTTTCCCCAGTGCCTCCAGTCCACTCTCAGATACAAAAGTTTGAAGAAATGCAAAATGATGGAACCAGGTCATTTGCTACTTTTAAAAGCCAAGCCAAGCCCAGAGATTTAGCTCAGTGGTTCTGCCACTTGCCTCCCAAGCACAAGGTATCCGAGTTCGATCCCTGCTACCAAAAAGAAGAAAAAGCCAAGCCAGAAACACTTTTTAATCCAATAATTAATGTCATAACAGTCTATTTCCTCAGAAGGCAAACAATCCACAAAGACCAGCTCATTTTCCTCCTGGGGTCACAGGCGTGCAAAGATCAAGGAGCACCTTTGCATCCTCCCATCTACAGGACTCGGTCAGTGACCATCATCTGACACAGCCCATTACCAAGTGTCTGCACATACACCTCATTAAATCAGTGACACAGAAGGTGTGGGCCACAGACAGGCAGTGTCGGTGTCAGCATCCCTTGGGGGCCTGCAGCCATCCTCCCCTATCAGATCTGCCCACCCCCCACCCCATACTGGAAACTGAACTCAGAACCTTGTGCTTGCCAGGCAGGTGCAATGCCACTGAGCTACATCCCCAGCCCTTTTTCTTTTTTTCTTTTTTTTTAATCAGCATCTGTCTTAACAAGCTATTGAAGTGATTCTTACCCAACCTAGAGGTTAAGAAGCACTGACCTAAATTAGAGTTAGCAAGAAGTAAAACCGAGTTTACCAACATCTACACTGTGTCTCCAGCTTGCACCCAGACCTTCTCTGTGGGAGTCTCATGTACCCACCAATACAAGGCAGTAAGATGCGTCATGCTTCTTTAGGCAGATGAGGGAATTAAGGCTCAGAGAAACTCAAGGCCAGATCCTCAACTCCTCAGTGCCCAAGGCTGCAACCATTCAAGTCCAGGACATCTGGTTCCAAGTACCCCCCCACCCCGGCCAACACAGCCATCTTCATGGTCTTGACCACACCACGTCACTGCAGCTGCCAAGAACAGCAGCAGTCACTTGACAACTAAGAAAAAGGGACACTAGAGCTGTGAACAACAAAACACTTTCCTTATTGACCACTTACCAGTCTATTTAAATATAGGATGGCCAAAAACTGCATATTCTAAATTTTTATAGCATAATGTAGTAAAGAAGTATTAAAAACAACACTTTTATCAAATGTATTCAATACAAGAACTGAGGGCTGAAATGACACCTGCCCGAGAGATGCTCGGGATTGTCAGTAGGTAAATAAATGCACCGCCCCAGTTGACATAAACTACTCAGTGGTTAATGCCGGATGCGTTATTGCTGGCACATGCAATATTCTAGTGGCACATGCGTGTAATCCCAACACTCTGGGAGGCTGGGGCAGGAGGACAATAAGTCTGGGCCAATGAATTCTGAAAAGGGGCTGGGGATGTAGCTCACTGTGAAGGTCCTTACAAAAATATCAGTTTAGGAGCCAGGGATTTAGCTCAGCAGTTCGGTGGCCTGCCTTGCAAGCAGAAGTACCTGAGTTCAATCCCTGGTACCAAAAAAATAAAATAAATCAGTTTAAAAAAATACAATCAAACAGACTTCCTCTCATTCTAGCCTTATCATTAAATATCTCTTCAACTACTTACCCCAAGATGCTCTTTGTTACCCAGGGTAGATAGCAGAGGTAGAGAGGTGCAAGGGAAAAGGAAGGGAAGGATGCAGAGTTCTACTAATCCACTTTTCACTGTACACCTGGCTTCTCTACTTATAGCTTAAGTCCATACAGATACATTTTTTCCAGTCAATGAGGCAGGAGAGAACAGAAGATTTTGTAAAAATTCTCAACATGCAGCTCAAACCCTTGAGACTGCTCTGGTTTAAGAAGCCTCCATTCTGATTCCTGCCACCTCATGACACCGACTGAGGGCTGGGCCGGCTGCTGCTTACATCATCGTCCAGAGTCTCGTCATCCAACTCCTCCAGCTGGGCTTGGTTGTATCTAAACTGGATTCGGCTCAACACCTCTGTGAGCAAGAGGACCAGGGCATCTTCGTACCTATGTGAAAGATATTCAACAGCAAGAGGAAGAAAGTGTTTAGCTGAGGATTTCAAAAAAGGCTCCCTAAACTACGAAGGGAATGGCGTCCAGGTTAGATTATCATGTGCAAGAAGCGTCAATCCCCAATGCTAAGTCTACGATTCAGCAAGGGTGTGTGTGAGCAGAATCGTAGCAGGGCTATGATTAAACTATATTCCAGGCATCACACATCTCTTTGAGGAACCCTTTTACCATTATATAATATCTGTCTTTGTCTCTTGTAACAATTATTTAAAGTCTATTTCATCTGATATTAGTATGCTAATCCAGCTCTTTTTTTTTAGTGTTTAAATTGAGCGTATTTTTCTATCCTTGCAATCTGTGTTTGAATCTAAAGTGAGTCTCCTTCTAGACAACATGTGACTGGATCATGGTTTTTTTAAATCCATCCTGCAACCTCTGCCTTTTACCTGGAGAACTTAATCCATTACATTGAATTACTAAGGAAGGATTTGTTTCTGCCATTTTGTTATTTGTTTTCTGTATGTCACATGTTCTTCAATTCTCCCATTCTTGCTTCTTCTATGTTAATTTTCTAGTGTAGCATTTTAAATGCTTATTTTTTTACCACATACAACTAAAAAAAGAGAATTACAGACCAATCTCTCTAATGAACACAGAAAAAGTACAAAAATCCTCAACAAGATACTCGTAAACAGAATCATCAAAAAGATCATAGTTTACAACCAACTAAGCTTCACCCTAGGAATCCAATGATGGTTCAACACATGTAAATCAATCGACCACTACCACTACCACCACCACCAAAAGACTGTTGGACTCAACAACAAAATTCAATAATGTAGCAGGATACAAAATCAATGGTGTTTCTGAATACCAATAATGAACCCACTGAGACATCAATTAGGGAAAAAAAGATACCTTTCACCAAAAAAAATTAAATATGTAAGAATTAATCTGGGCCGGGGATTTAGCTCAGTGGTTCTGCCACCTGCTTCGCAAGCATAAGGTCCCAAATTCAATCCCCGGTACCAAAAAAAAAAAAGGGGAGGGGGGATTAACCTAACTAGGGAAGTGAAAAACCTCTATGATGCAAACAACAGTACTTTGAAAAAGGAAACTGAAGAGGACATCAGAAAGTAGAAAGAGATGCCCTGTTCTTGGACAGGCAGAACCAATATAGTAAAAATAATCATAATTCCAAAATTGATATACAGATTGAATACAATAAAAATACCAACAGCATCGCTTCTCGGCCTTTTGGCTAAGATCAAGTGTAAAAATACCAACAGCATTCTTCACAGAACTGGAAAAATCAATCCTAAAATCCAAATTGAACCAGAAGAGATCCAGTACAGTAAAAGCAATCCTGGGTAATGAGCAAAGTGGGAGGCATCACAATCCCTAACTTAAAGATAAACTGCAAAGCTACAGTGATAAAAACAGCATGCAACTGGCACAAAAACAGGTGTGAGAATCCATGGAACGGAACAGAGGATGCTGAAACACATTTGACTCTGATCTTTGACAAAGGGACCAAAAAAAAAAAAAAAACACTGGAGGAAAGACAGCTTCTTTAATAAATGGTGCTGGAAACACTGGCTCTCCACATGCAGAATATTGAATCTAGACCCTTATCTCTCACCCTGTACTAAACTAAATTCAAACTGGATCAAAGAACTAAATGCTAAAACAGAAACACTTAACCTGCTGGAAGATAAAATAGAGAAAACTCTTAAAGGCGTAGGCAAGGACTCTCCGAAATGAGCCCCAGTTTCATAGGGAATAGTACCAAGAGTCAACAAATGGGATCATATCAAGTTAAAAAGCCTCTGCACAGCAAAAGAAACAACCAACAGACTGAAAAGAAAACCTACAGAATATGAAAATATTTTTGCCAGCTATTCCTGAGACAGAGGGCCAATATCTAAAGTAGTCAAAAAAAAAAAAATTAGACTCTCTCAAATAAACGACCCAAACAAAAAAATGAACAAATGAATAGACACTTCATAGAAGCAGCAGTTCAAATGGCCAATAAATACATGAAGAAATGTTCCACATCACTTGCCATTAGAAAAACACAAATTAAAACACCACTGAGATTCCATCTTACCCCAGAAAGAACGGTCATCAGCAAAAACTCTAGTAATAACAAATTCTGGTAAACCTGAAGGATAAAAAAGCAGCTTCCTCATTACTGGTGGGAATATAAACTAGTTCAACCACTATGGACATCAGTATGGAGATTCCTCAAAAAGCTAACACTAGGAATTCCATTGGACCCAGCTATTTCCCTTCTACATTTCTTTCTGAAAGAGTTAACTACAGTGACACATACATGCATTCCCATATTTATAGGTGCACAATTCATAATAGCTGAATCTTGGAAGTAGCCTATCTGTCCTATCAACAGATGAATGGAAAAAGAAAATGTGATATCAGCACAAAATAGTACTACTGTGTCATCTAGAAAGATAAACGAGTCATTTTCAGGAAAATGGTTGCACCTAAAATAAACCAGACACACAAGCTTAAATACCACAGTTTCTTGTATATGAGAAATGTGCATTATAAATAAAGAGCAAAGTAGAAGACAGATAACAGGAAGCAGGGAGATAGATCCTTCTCAAAGGGGAACAGGATTAAGAGATGGAGGGAGGAGGGAGGTAGGAAAGAGGATAAAAAGGAATTAAGGTGTGTTGTATGCATCGCTTCTGGCCTTTTGGCTAAGATCAAGTGTAGATGTGTTGTGTACATGGACCAACTCTATACAAGGAATATAAACATTATGTATTACAAACATGTTCTACTCAAAATAAACCAGCCTTATTTTTTATTGCAATCTGAGCTAATATTAAACAAATGATATTAGAAAGAAACAGGAAACTTCAAAAATAAAGGAAAAGCAAGAAATTGGCAGATGTCTGGGTAAATATAACAGACTTTTTTTCTGCACCTAAGATCTTTAAAATCTGGGCAGGGATAAAAGTGAAAAATTAGTTGTATGATGGGGTTTTCAAAGCATGTGAAACACGTAACAGTCACAATGTAAGGAAGAGGGTAACAAGTCTCCATCACTCCAGGGTAAAATATTAACATGCAAAATGAGTTTCTATATTAATACCCAGATCAATCACTAGAAATAAACCCACATAGAGTTAGAGTCAACCAGACATGGTCATGCACACCCAAAATCCCAGCATTCTGGGAGGCGGAAGGAGGGTCACAAGTTCACACAGCTTGGGTTACTTAGCCAGACTCATATGTCAAAATAAAAAAGGCTGGGATGTAGCTCTGAGCAAAAGCCCTGGGTACAGTCCCAGGGAGGGAAGACTAATGTGTGTACAACTAGTATCAGTCGCAAAACAAATTAAGTAAAGCTGATAGACCTAAAAGGAGACAGAGAGAAATCCATAATTACATTGGAGAATCCCCTTTTCTCTGAGTACCTCAGAGACAAGCAGGATAAAGAAGATAAGCACAATATTATTAACCAATCTAACCTGCACTCACAGAACACTCCTCCCAATAGTAGAATTGGTCATTTTTTCAAGTACCCACTAATCTATAAGAAGACTGGATTATGAAATAAACCATAACAAATTTAAAAGGACTGATATCGTATAGACTACACTCACAGTTCACAGTAAGTTGAACCAGAAATCAACAAAAAAACATGGAAAGTTCACAAATACTTGGAAATTAAGTATTTAAAGAAAAATGAGCAAATATTTTAAATCAAATAAAATGCAACATGTTAAAATCTGTTGAAAAAAATCTGGTGGATAAGCCAGGTGTGGTGACACACATCTGTAATCCTAATACTTGGGGAGGCTATAAGACAGGAATCCCTGTGAGTTTGAGGCCAGCATGGGCTATATAGCAAGACCCTGTCTCAAAATAAATAAAATCAAATCTGGTGGGTAAGGCTTAGGCAGTGTTTACAAGCAAATTTATAGTATTAGACGTTTATACACACAATAAAGATAAACCACTCAGACCTCACAAGTTATGAGTTAGATAAAATTACCCACACCGAGGCAAGTGCACAGTGGTGCCCAATAAATATATGATGAATAAGCAGACAGGCAATAAACAAAGTTCCAAGACAGGTAACCATGAAGGACTAAAGCGAATCCTGTGGAGCTTTTTCAACTCAATGAAATAAACACAGCCACTCACTGAGGCTCTGGGGTAGCCTGGGCCATGATGGCTAGCAGGATCTAGGCAGACACTAGAGCTTTAATCTCACCTTCATCAACACACTTTATTTTGGCCATGTCACATATCATGTGCAACAACAGTGCTTCCTCTGTTTCACAGAATGACCTATTCTAAAAAGAAAGATGTTTTTCCTCACACTTACCACATTTGTTTACAGAGCAATCTAAAGTCACTCACAGTCCTTGGTCAGGTCTGTAGCATTTTTGTGACAGGACATGACTCAAAGACTCTAGGTTGGTTCGCATACTCGGGTTTCCTCATCTTCCGGTACTAGGATGTTTCTACACAGGTGACTCGCGCTGACAAGCAACGAGAAGAAAGTGAGAGAAAATGGCCAGAGCACCAATACTGACTCAGTGAGCACCAACTAACTACCAGCCGAGGTACTACAGGCTCAGAGAAATGGCTCTTTCCATTTTCTCAGGACATGTGAGGAATACACGACCATCTCCTCAAAGTACAAATAAAGGAAAAGAGACTAAAGCCCAGGCCTTTCCACTGGGAGACACTATCCCACCAGCAACTGTTACAAAACAGTCATCCACCAATACTGGGTGCCACTCTCTGACATCCCCACAAGCTCTAATCAAGAACCTCTTGAACACTCCCCCTGTACAAGAAGAAACAGGCAGAGCAACGATTTCCAACTTCCTAAGACCAAAAATAAATTCACGAACATTTGTGCTTCTAAATTTGTAGCCAATAATACCCATCACTTTGATGTGATAAACGCTGTAAAACTTTGAAACCACAAGGGACAGGAACTGAGTGCT